ATGTCAGTGCAGTAAAGTGCTCACGTGGTTAGTGCACAGGGACGTGAGTGCACAGCCCACGAGGAATTCCTGAGCAAGGAGCTGGCTTCCCCTCGGAGTCCAGGTGAACTATGTCATGGTGTAGCAAGTCACGTCAAATGAGATGGAACGTATTTGACTTATGGTAGGGTTCGATGACTTGTTTTTAAAAAGTACCGACATATCTACAGATGCATCACGTGCATATGAATATGCAATACAGCCTTACGTATTTTTTTCCACAAAAGCAATTTTCTGTTAGTTTTCTATCAAGGAGACCTTGAAATTAGTAAGGTTAGGAACAACTGTGGCAGAATCTGGTATTACATTTTTGGATCTGTGTTTCTTTTAGAAATCTCAGTTTAGAGAATGGGATCATTACGTGCTTGGTTCTAAGGTGCTAACTTCCATCTTTCTCCCCGCAAATGCTGACTCTGTACGTCTTCTGCTTTTCTCCAGGTTGTCACGAGAGGGCAGCACACGCTCATGTTTAAACAGGAGAGTGGCAGCCGCCTCGATTTACAGATAAAGGAGAACCTGGAGCAAGGTTGCCTTCTCGTGCTTTCCGAGCTCAAAGGCTTTTACTGGTTGTCTTTATTTTACTAGTAATAATATCTAAGTTACTTTGAGGATAGAAAGATAGGTACACAGGCAGACTTCTTAGAAGTAGCAAGCTTGACAAAACTTCTGGAATCTTCAGAAAAAAAGAAAAAGGAAAAAAAATAAACAACAAAAAACCAAAAACAACAACAAAGAATCTTCAAATCATTCTTTTAACCATGGTAATACCAGCGTCTAGAACACAGAAAACAAACCTCCTTTTTTCCACTTCCTTCTCTGTATTACTCATCTTGACCACCTTCCTGTGAAGTCAGGGATGGAGAAACATTTCCGCCGATCTTTACAGAAATGTCACTGCCAAGAACATTCAGGTAGGAATAATGAACACCACCAGTTGTCACTTACCGCGGCCAGACCCTCTGTGTACAGTCTGTCCCCCACCAGTCCCCCCACGAGAAGGCCGCCATGACTAGTCTTGTTTTGGGGCAGAGATGAGCCCAGCTGAAGGACGTGCCCAAGGCCACGGAGGAACACAGGTTCCCTGCCCGCTAAAGGCCCGAGTCGGGGGCTCGGGGTGGGGGGGGATGTGACCTGTGTGCTTTGGCTGTCCCCTGTCCTGTCTGTCCCCCTCCTGCTGTTTAACGGTGAGGATTACCCATCACCCCCTTGGCCTGCCGTCACTCATTGAGCATGTGTTATAAACATTTATATATATGATGCAAATTTTAAAACAAGCTAAACGAACCCACGTGTCACGTGACACACAAGCCATCTCTCTTCCTGGTGCCCGTTCCTGAGGCATGTCTGGAGCAGTGACATCAGGTGGGGTCCATTGGGGGTGGGCACAGGGAGGAGCCAGAAGGAAGGTCTCCGGAAGGAAGACGCTTGGAGGAAGGGGTGGGCACGTGAGGGGAGGGAAGAGCTCAGCCGGAGAAGGGGGTGGGCAGCCAGGGAGTGGGTGAGGAGGTGTCAGGCAGTGAAGTGGCTCCTCTGCTCAGGCAAAGGAAACAAAAGCAAAAAGAAACAAATGGGACCTAATTTAACTTTTTAAAGATTTTGCACAGTAAAGGAAACCATGGACAAAATGAAAAGACAACCTACTGCATGGCAGACCCTATTTGCAAATGATATGATCAATAAGGGGTTGACATCCAAAATATATAACAGCTCATACAACTCAACATCAAAAACAAACAAAACCCCGATGGAAACAATGGCACAAGAACTGAATAGGCATTTTTCCAAAGAAGAAATGCAGGTGGGCAACAGGCACATGAAAAGATGTTCAACATCGCTAGTCATCAGGAAATGCAAATCAAAACCACAATGAGGCATCACCTCACACCTGTCAGAATGGCCATCATCAAAAAGAACACAGGTAACATGTTGACGAGGATATGGAGAAAAGAGAACCCATGCGCACTGCTGGTGGGAATGTGAAATGGTGCAGCCGCTATGCAGACCAGTATGGAGGTTTCTCAAAAAACTAAAAACAGAACTACCATATGATCCAGTAATTCCACTTTTGGGTATATATCCAAAAAAACCTGAAAATACTAATTCAAAAAGATACATGCACCTCTGTGTTCGTAGCAGTATTACAATAGCCAAGACACGGAAGCAACCTAAAGGTCTACTGACAAAGAAGATGCGGTATACATATGCAGTGGGATATTACTCAGCCATCAAAAAGAATGGAATTTTGCCATTTGCAACATGGATGGGCTTGGAGGGCATTATGCTGAGTGAAACAAGTCAGGGAAAGACAAATACTGTATGATATCACTTATGTTTGGAATCTAAAAAATACAACAAACTAGGGAAGATAACGAAAAGGAAAGAGACTCACAGAGACAGAGAACAAACTAGTTAGTGGTTACCAGTGGGGAGCGGGAAGCAGGGAGGGGCGACATGGGGGTAGGGGGTGAGAGGTACCAACTATTAGGTATGAAACAAGCTACAAGGATGTACTGTACAACACGGGGACTACAGCCAGTACTTTAAATTGCTATATATTAACCTTCAAAAATTGTGAGTCACTATGTTGTACACCTGAAACATAATATTGTAAATCAACTATATCTCAATAAAAAAGCAAGAAATACCCCGCAGCCGGGGCCCGGTGCTCCGGGAGCCTGACGAGGTGTCGGGAGGTGAGGGATGCATCCCTGCCACCAGCGCCTGCCCCACCCCCCGCCCCGCTTTGTGAGGGCACACGGAGACTGCGAGGCCTCAGGGACCCTCCTGCAGCTTCCAGGTGACACTGGGCCTGCCACACCAAAGCCACCAGCTGCCCCTACACCGCCGAGGCCCAAGGGGAGGATGCTGAGAAACACCTCTGTAGCTGCCGGCCACGGGGAGGGCGCCGTCAGCGTCTGGGTGGGCGCGCGGACAGCTGTCACACGTGGACAGCCAACGTCCCCCAGGCTCTGTGCAAAGGAGTTCTTACCCTGCTCTTCGCTCCTCGTTAGCCAACCCTAACCTTTGCTACTCTTCTCGTTCAGAGGGTGTGTTTTTAACACCGTGTTGTAGAAAAGGCTAGTTTTGCACTAGGCAACGTGAAGCTCACAGACCTGAGTGGCCCTCCCAGCTCCTCCTGGCTCACCCGTGAGAAGTCGGGGGAGGCAGGAAGTCCATTTCCTCCCAGCAACTCCGTGGGACTGTCCCTGGGTGGGCACGCAAGGAAGGGCCGGGACGAGGGGTGTCCAGCAGGGAGAGTGACTCACCGGCAACACCAGAGAGCCTTCTGTCCCCACCAGGAGACCCCCCCCGGACCTCATCTCCTTCCTCTGCAACTATAAACGTGTCACCTAGGGCCAAGAGAACATGTTTTCTAGTCTGTCATCCTGGCAAGCTGACCCCGAGAACATTTTCTATCCCCAAAATAATCTTTGCAGGTTTGCCTCAGGGAGGAAAAGGATGCTGCATTTCCTTCAGTTTAGCTTGTTTAGCTCTTTTCAGCAAAATCTAATGATTAACGAGGTCTGCCGACTGCTGAAGGGGAGGGTGGCCACCCCCAGAGAGAGATACAAGTCTGACCTCGACTTCCGGCCTCCTGAAAGAGTCCTCCTTGCTGGGCTCTTTGGTAAAGGAAAGACATTAACCGGGTAAAGAAAGACACCGAGGGGCTGCTCTCCGCCTGGGGCGCTTTGCAACGTCCCTCACGAAATAAGCTCCAGGCTCACTTCCCGTGTCAGGTTAAGCAGAGGGTTGGACCAGGGTGAATTACTTGCATTTGCTTGCTTTTCCTTAAATGCACAATTCCCTGCCATTTTATTCCCTGGGTATGGGACAGCCTTCAGGCTTGGCGTGTGTGAGTAAGAATCCAGGAGGACGAATCAGAGCGAGGCCAGTGAAGATGCTGCGTCAGCGTGACGCCTGCAGACGTGGGCCTCCTCCCAGAGCCCGGCACCAGGGGCCAGATGGTCAGTCCCGGGCGTCCTGCCTGAATGGGAGTGGCCCCTGCTTGTTGCCCACGTGGGAAAGGGAGGATGGAAGGGTGCCGTCATGCTGGCTTCTGGGCGGTATCCCACAGCCGATTAACTGCCACACTCCCAATTACACTTTAACAAGCAGAGCGTGTGCGCTGGGCAAGCTGATGACGTTCCCACACCAAGTTCGGGAGCTTGACCGGAAGTCACAACAGTTGCTACCAGGAAGACAGCGTGACGGCAGGGAGGCGATGCCCTACAAAAGGAAACCCTTCCATGTCGCTGTAACCTCGACAGCACCAGAGGGTGTGCCCGCCTGCGTACTGCTGCCCGGGACGGTGCCGGACGGAGCAGAACCCCCCTCCCCTCACCAGGAAAGCAAAGGCAGCTGAGTGCACGTCACTCTGCCTTTCAGAAAACAGACCCATCACGGACTCCTGGGGGCCGGGCTGCACACTCGGCCTCTGCCGGACACACGGCGGCTTCTTAACAAATATTTGTTAAACAATTCAGTGATGTAACTTGTTGGGCTTTCTCTCCGAGGCCCTTCTTTGGGCTGGAGACACTGGCCTCTCAGGCCAGTAGAAAACCAAGGCCTTTTCTATCTGCTTTTTATGTGAAACAGACTGTTTCCTGAGTCCTCCTAGGAGAGTGGACAGCGTTTGGGCTGGAGCAGAGCACAGGCATGAATTCAGTGGCCTCCCCACTCCACTCCTTTTCCAGGCCCTGCCGCGCTGCTTGCGCCCCAACGCTCCCCGTCCCTCCACCTGCCTGGACGGGACCCAGAGTCCAGCCCTCACCTCACTCTGGGTTCCCTGGGGGTCAGGGCGGAACAGCGGTCCGGGACCTGACGCCCAGCATGGGCCGCAGCTCGTCCGGAAGCCGGAGCAGAGCTGGTGGCTCATTCACCGGGAGCCCTGCCAGACGCGAAGCCCCGCCCCCCGTGTCCTCAGAAGAAACGCGCCCCTGCACGGGCGGCCCGCCACGCACCTTATTACTGTGGGAGTGATCTCTGCACAGAAGAACACGCTGAGGCTCCCCACTGCATGGGAGGCGAACATGCCCACGATGGAGAAGGTGATGGAGAACTTGTCTTTGACGCTGTCGCTCATTCCTGGGGGAGAACCAGGGGGGTGGTGAGGGGGGCGGAGGGAGGCCTGGGGCCGAAGAAGGGTCTTCCCTCCTCCCCTCTGCCCGGTGTGAGATGCAGACCCGGGAGATGCAGCATGTCCCGGGGTGGGAGGTCAGAGCCCTTCTGGCAAAAGCCTCTGTTGGGTCCCCCGGGAGTCCCTGCGGGTCTAAAATGTGGGGCTCAGGCTGACTCTGCCGGACGCCGTAGCCTACAGCGGCCAGCAGGGAGGGAGGCTGGTGGTCTCCCCGACGCTATGGCAACGCCCTCCCGTCCAGCCTTCCGGCTCAGCTCCAGAGAAAGGTCTCTGGTTCCAGAGAGCCTGGCCATCCTGGCCTCAGGCCTGACCAGTCCAATACAAGGGACAGGGCAGCCCAGGCTTGACTGAGGGGAACGAGAACTCAACCCCAAGAGGAGAACTTATGGGCCTGGAGGGAGCGAGCTGGACCAACTGGAGCATCTTGCCAGTGGCACCGGGTCTGACCTCACACCCAGGCGGCGCTAGGCGGGCACAGCAAGATGCTGGGGCCCCACATCTGGGGCGCAGCCCAGTTCCCCACAAGACCGCACTGGGAGCCCTGGCGGCACGGGCTCGGTCAGGCCAGGCACGTGCGCACAGCAGCGTTGTGTGCAGGGCAGAGGCTATGCCATCCCAGAGGCCGAGAGTAGCAGGCTTGTGTCGCTCACAGGCGGGGACGGCTGCTTCCCCTGGCAGCGTGGTCAGCCGGGCCCCCAGGGCCGTGCGGCCCAGCCCAGGCCTGTCCCCAAGGCCCTGCGTCACAGTGGAGGCTGCTGGGCTGTGCTGGCCACTGGTGCCAGGGGCAGGGACGAGGGCAGCGTGCAAGCCGGGCACAAAGCGGGTGGGGGGCGGGCGGCCTGACTTCCTAGAGGCGCGAGGGGCAGAGAGGACAAGTGGATGAGTGTAGTGTCCAACCTACGGCCAACTTCAGCTGCAACTCTTGGGGTGAAAGGGGGAGGGGAGAGAGAGGAAAGGGAAACCACAGGTCTGTGAGTCTTTGTGAAAATGCCCTGCAGGTGCAATAAAATAGACAACACGGTGCCGCACATGCGTTCGGCTCACCTGAGTCTGGATGCTGGCTGTATTTCCCGATCACTGGACCGCAGGAACGGCGGCACACGAGGAGGAAGGCGGGCAGGGAGAGGAGAAAGAGAGCAGGTCGGACGGAAGTTACCACCGCGTGCTTCCACGCGACTGGTTTCTAAGCACACCCCCTCCGGGACCAGCAGGGGTGGCCTTGCAGCCAGCCCAGCTGACGCCACCAGAGAGCAGGAGGGACGTGGCGCAGACGTTGGGGAGTGTCCAGGGCATCAGGGCTGGCATTTGACCAAATGGAGCTCCTTCTGTTCGGAAGGGAGGGCTGGGCCCCTCTGGCCTCGTGACCTGGGGAGGACGCCAGCTCCTGAGAGCAGGGGCCCGCGCGCAGCACCCGCCCTCAAGCCGAAGCGGGGAATCTCGCCATGTCCAAAGTTACTCAAGTCACTGCTGGTCTGTGCTCGGGGCACCAAGTGCTGTGGGCAGACCCGGCAGACAGCATCGCTGTGCCCTCCCAGCCTGGTCCCCACGGTGCCTGGTCTCCCGGGCATCCCTGCTCAGGGACTAAGAAGGGCGGCTGGGAGCCCCGGGGCTGCCGTGCCCCTGCATGTCCGCCCAACCGGCGGGAGCTGCAGAAGACTCCCCGAAGGGCAGCCTGGGCGGCCCCACCGGGGGACAGACCCCACGTCGTCACAGCTGAAAATGAGGCCAGTCTCCCGGCAAGACGCGGACCGCACGTGAACGTGCCCAAGTCAGAAAGCTGCTCCTGAGTCTGACACTGGCTATTCTAGAATCCAGTTTGCACAAGGCTGAGAAAGTCCTCGGTTTTCTTTCTCCCCCTTCTGTTCTGGATTCTCCCTCCCCACCCGGACATCACGCAGACCTGAAACACTACTGCAGGCTTCTGACTTGCCCAGCAGTGCTGACCGAGCTCTGACAGCTCAGGGGCGAGGGCAGCCATCAGAGCCTCGTGGTCCCCGCGGCGCCTGAGTCCGCTGGGGGGGATGGTGCTGGGCAAGAAGGCTCGGCTGCCCGGCTCAATCCCCGGGCTGTCGGATACCCTGCGGCTCGTCCCCGTGGCGGGCGAGGGCTTTGTTCACCAGGAGCTGCACTGAGCGTGCCTCGTGGAGTTGCGTGGGCGACACGGGCCGGCTAGCTTTTCTTTAAATTACTTTTAGCGTTTGCTGAGAGGCTCTCTGGCCCCAAGAGACTTGGAAACAGTCCCGAAAAGCAGTGTCCCAGTGCAAGGGTGTCGAGATGGACCTATCTCGCCCTTGATTTCACATGAGGAAAAAGTCCTTCACTCCTTCTCACGTGATGGATCACAGCGGGAGAGCGTGGCCCCCAGTGGGGTCACCACGCCCACCAGCACTGTGAGGGCCCGGCTACCAGGGAGCCCCGGGGCAGCGGGAAGCCTTGGGGTCGCATGGGAGGAGGGGGCACCCCACGCACGTGTTCTAGTGCGAGCTCGTCCTTCCCAAAGCAGCCCCCTGCAGCTGTGGATTCTGGAGGACGCCTCGGGCTGCCCACCCACCCAGGGCTCTGGAGTGCACGCCAGGCCCTGCCCACCGCCCGCCCGGGGCCTGGGCCCACTCACGGTTGAGCAGCCCGAGCTGCAGGAGCGAGGCCAGGGCCGTGAGGATCACGAAGAGCAGCAGGCCTCCCCGGCGCCCCAGGAGCCGCACCACCGGGCACACGGCCAGGCAGGACGCCAGGGCGATGCCGGCCGCCGTGTAGTAGTCGGCGTAGAAGTTCTCGAGCAGTGGCACCTTCACCTCGTGGCCCACCATGCTGCGTGCGAAGCAGTGGTGGATCCCGAAGCCGGTCAGCCTGCGGGGACACAGTGCCTGAGGCCACCACCTCCCAGCGGGTGCGGGACACCCTGCGTCGCGTCCAGGGGCAGAGCAGCCACTCGGAAGGTGGCGGGGAACGCACGTCAGAGAGGACGTCAGGGAGGGGATGTGCGTGGTCACCGCCCTGCCGTGGCCTTACGGAGGGTGCAGGCATAAAAGCAGGGAGACCCTCGGCTCAAACGCTGTCTCTCATGAAATCCAGGTGTGAGGCAGGCGCCCCCAGGGTCCCTGCGTTTGAGCCCGCATCGTGGGCACCGAGGGGGCCCATCAGAGCCACTTTCCAGGCGGGCCGACAGGCAGGCAGCACAGCGGGTGAGCACAGCCTCTAGGACACACCGCCTGTCTACACCTCTGCCTCTCCCGGGGTTCTGGAAACTCGGGGACCCGCCCCGAGAACTGGCTCCCCTGCCACCCCTCGCTGCTACTTGCGGCTCATGTGTCCTGGAGGAGCAGGAAGGGTCAGGCCAGTGAGGACATCTGGTCTTGGAGGCCGTTCAATGCTTAATTTACCGTCCCCCGCCCCCCCCTGCCCTGGGTTCAGCCCCCTCCTGCCCCACAGGGTCACAAAAACCCGCAGGGAAACGTGTGTCCCAGCCGCTCAGGCGGATGTCCACTCTGGGAACAGGAATAAAGATGTGTCGTGTTTCCTGGGAGCACGGGGCAGCAGGGCTCTGAGGCCCCGGTGGACGTGCCCCGTGGGAGCAGGGCTACGAGCGCCTGCCTCCGTCCCTGAGCTGAAACGCCCTTGTCTCCCAGCCTCCCTCCTCCGTGCTTTCAGCAGACTTTGAGGACGCATCAAGGTCAACTACAGACCTGGTCCTGCAGGTGGGAGCCGCCCTCCTCCAAACCCATGCGTTTCCCCTTGGGGACAGGCAGACCCGGCTCCCCTGGGCCACGTTGGACGGCCTAACAGGTGTGAGTTCAGCGGGGCTCCTGGTCTCAGGGCGGGTCTCCCACCTTGTTGTTCTGGTGGAAGGACGTCCTCTGACCACAGCAAAGCCAGAGAGACTGGCTCGCCCTTCCCCAAAACAAGAATCATTAAGGTGGAAACTCCCTATCTTGTCTATGTCACCATTTGTGTTTTTTCCAAAATAAAAGTTGGAGAAGTGACCCCACTGTAAACGGGCCCACTGGCCCAGCCGGCGTCTGCCTGAGACTGGGCAGCGGGTGGCCGGGCTGGAGCTGACCCTGCAGAGACGGGCCTGAGGGCTCGGCCCCGACCAGGCGCGCGGCGCGGCTGCCCCTTCCCCTGCCTGGGCCTCGGCTGCAGGACGAGGTGTCCGTTAGATCTGGGCTCTTCCACTGCTTTGGTGCTGGGATGTTTTGTATCCTCCCCCAAATTATTTAACCTGGAACCCCAATCCTGAGAGCTGATTAAATGGAGCTGCTTGGACAGGAGCAGCTGTGGGATGTGGGGCCAGAGGCCCGCCCCTGGGCCTTGCTCTCTACCGACGACGGCCGTCCTTAGACTGTGCACCGAAGGGTGCAAGCTCCCCTCCCCCAGTGACCTCTAACCCCCTTACTGCCTAGATGACCTGTGACCCTGAACGAGGCCCCACCTGGGCAAGCAGGGAAGGGCAGGGTTACTGAGCTGTGAGCCAGCAGCACAGGCTTGCCAGTGCACACTGAACCCGGGACACTGCTGGCAGAAAACGGCGTGAGCCATGAAGGTGTAGGTGCCAACCTGGGGCGCCGGGCTGGATGTGGTCAGCTAGGTGGGAGGGCCTCTGGCCACGTGTGGAGGTCATACCCAAGGCCGGGCCGGCCCATCACCACCCGCCGTGACCCTGGGGTCGGGCCTCTGCAGGCGCTGGCTCCACGCAGGGAGCTAGGACACTCAGCAGCCTGGTCTCCCCTCGCCCGTGATGGTGCCTGGAGGCCCACACGTGCAGGCCCCCGAGCCCCCCGTCACTGTGCCTCGGGGGGAGGTGCCTCCCGGGAGGTGCATGGCCAGAGAGCCCCACTCCCAGGACGGCCCTGGACGTGAGCCTGCTCTCCGGCAGCCCCGTCCCCCGGGACACGTCTGTGCAGCCCGAGTGGCAAGCAGGGGGAGATGCCGGGCTGCCCCGAGGCTGGGGGTCCGCGTCTGCCGGCACCCGTAGCCCGTCAGACAGCTGTTCAGAAGCTCTGACGGGGTTGCTCAGGCTCACCCCGGCCCTGCCCCCTCTCCCCCGCCCCAGGCCCGAGCCCACCTGCGCCCATGACTCACGAGTTCACGCACAGCACCACGATGTTCTTCCACAGGTTCCGGGTTCCCACCACCTTCACGATGCAGACCTTCTTGGGCCTCCGGGAAAGCTCCTTCTCCAGCTCTGCAGGGAGGGGGGACCCGTGAGCCACGCTCGGCCAGGCAGCCCCCCCGACGGCCCGATGCGCGGATTCGGGGGTCAGGAGAAGGAGAGTGTTTCTCTTTAAGGCAGGGGCAGGGCCTGGCTCTCAGGGGAGAAAACTCGCCACAGAGACACTGACTTGGCAGGTGCAGCTGCCCACAGGGCCCGCAGGGAGGCGGCAGGACACACACAGCAGCCACCTGCATGGGCTCTGTCCACTTGGAAGGGCTGCGGAGGCCGCTGGGGGGCACGGAGGCCCTGATCGGGCTTGGGCAGGGGTCCTCTTCCTTACAGAGTCTGAACCCTCTGCTCAGGGACCAGGAGATGCATGCACTGCTCTGGTCCCCAAACCAACTCTGTGGGCCAAACAGGCTGAGGCTGCTTCCTCTGCACCTGCCCCTGCACGGCCCACATATTAGGAAGAGAAATGAGTGACTGAATGAACACGTGTGCATACGCGTGCACAGAGGTGTGGCCCGTGCACATACGTGCGCTGAGCCAGACAGACGGCGTCTCGGCTCAGGTGACGTGACCAACTACAGCTTGGTCGCGAGACCCAGCTTCTTGGGGGGCCCAGACCAGCTCTGAGCAGACGCCAGGCCCACACCAACGAGGTCGAGGGGTTTGCCGCCGTCCTGGGGCCGCCGGTTCAACAGGGAAGATCCAACGAGGAGACGCCCCAGCCTCCCCGTCTCCCGGCATCTGTGAGCAGAAATGCCGCACATTCAGCCTCCGGGTCTGTCCCTGCTCCCCTGGCCGGCCGTGCCCTCGGGGGAGGGGACCCCTTCTCAGGGGCCAGAGAAGAAAAAGGAGACTTAACCAATCAAGACTGCCGAGGTCAGGGGATGCAAGGAAAGACTGACAGCGCACCGACCACAGGCGGCTGGGAGGTGAGAGCAGGCAGCCCTGGGTGGGATCCTACGGCAGGGTCACTGGGGGTGACGTCCAGTCCAGGCTGCAGCTGGGCTGACTGCAGTGCAGCGACGGCAGTTTCCCAGTCGTAACAGGTGCAGGGGACGTGCGATGTTACAACAGGGAGACTGACTGGGGCTTTTTCAAAATTCTGTGCTCTCTTTGTAACTTTACTATAAACCTAAGAGGAATTCAAAACAAGTTTACTAAAAATAAAGCACGCAGTGGGGTGGGAAGGCCCGGAGGGAGTGGGGTTGCCTCAAGAGGGGCCCAGGAGCTGCAGCCCCCTCGGGGGGGCTCCGAGGTGTGTCCCCCTCCCTGTACTGCTTAGGGGGTACTCTCACCCTTGGACGTCCTACCTCTTTCCTGCCATCCAATGGCGAGAGGGTCACCAACCTCACTAATTACAGCTGGAAGGAGCAACAGGTTGCTTAACCATAACCGTTTAGGAGTTTTTTATTTAAAAAAATGTCTGGATCAGTGTCACCAGCTGGGGCACACAAGGAAGAAGGTGACACCTGTCCTATGTCCGAGGGATGCCATGCTCCCTCAGTTTCCAGAACTTTCTTCCGTGTCAATATTCAGGCACAGAGCTGCAGGCCTGTGCACCAGCCAGAACGTCCATCCATGGACCCTCAGCTCCTGACATCCTCCTGGCCTTTATCATCCCCTCTGCGAAAACGGGCCCATCTGATTTACAGACATACTTTCCCCATGGTCAGAACGCCAGAAAACTTTTAAAGAGCATGGAAACATGGTTAACAAACACATAGCGTTGATCCAACGATCTGAGTATCTTCACTGTTGTGAAACTGGTCAGGAACCCATTTATCACAGCCACACTTGCCCACCATGGAAATCTTCCAGGAAGAAAAACTAAATGCCCATTCGCATGGCTATATAGGTTTAAATTTTTTTTTTTTTGTAATGCAGCTAAAACTTAATTCCTGATACTTTCTAGTGTATGAAATAGATGTTAAGAAGCTGTAGTAACTGTAATTATGACCTTTTTTCTTTCTGTTCTTAAAGCTTTAAACTCTGGCGCCCAAGCTGACTGTCATCTACAGAGGTAACTGCATTGTTCTGAGTGGAATTACACTCACCTCTCCGGGGCTGCTGGTATGTTTTCTCTGTTACCTGCACCCCCAGCCTCTCGACACCACCACAGACACGCAAGAAGCCATGAGGCCTTCCTGGCCCTGCGCTCCGGCCGACCCAGACCGTCCTGGCCTCTCCCCACCCACTGCAGAGACTCCTTCCTGGGCCTGCGGGGACACCTGCTGACCCCAGAAATTCCCTCTCAACGCGCGAGACTCCAGCCGGCCCGAGGCCTCTTGCAGGAGCAGAAGTAGGTGCGGAGGGTCAGAGGCAGGGCGCCGGGCTCGGCTGCCTGGGGCCGAGGGTCAGAGGCAGGGCGCCGGGCTCGGCTGCCTGGGGCCGCCTTAGCTTCATCTCCTGCTGGGGTGTGACTGGTGCAAGTCACCTGACGCTGGGGACTGTGAGGTGGCCCGATACAGGGACCCGCTTCTCACCTCAGGTTCAGGACGGACGGACAAGACAGAGTGAGGCACGTGGGGCGGGCTCCCCGCTCGGTTACCGAGAAGGGCTCGGGTAAAGCCCCTGTGGGCCTGGTGGGGGCCTCGTACCTCCCAGACTCGCTGCCTGACCTGGTGACGCCGGACTCGGCTGCTTCCCTGCGGTCAGGCTGCCCGGAGAGGGCCTGATGCCGGGGACCCCCTCTCTGCACCTGGCTCACGTCCAAGGAGGAAAAGGGAAGCCGGTTCACTCTTCCTCGGGGGCTCCTTCCATGCGGAGGGAATGCCGGGAGCAGGGAAGCCGTGCCTCCAACCCTCAGCCTCCTGGGGCCCCTTTCCCGTATGTACAGCAGGGGCGATCTGATCCATCGGAAAGGTTCTGATGAGGGTCAAACGCCTGTATGGCGTCTCAGCCCCCGAGGCAGGGCTGAGGGCGGGGCAGCAGGGAGGATAGAGTCAGGGCGGGTGAGAGCCTGGGTTGGGGACGGGATGCTGGTCAGTGGCCTAGATAAGATGCTGGGACACAGCATTCAAGCAGGCAAACCGGTCCAGCCCAGGGAGGTGCAAGGGGCCACTTCCGAGGAAACAGACACCCGCCTTCCTCCAGCTTTGCCCTGGTGCCATCATGTCATCGTCACTGTCACCGTGCGCCTGACAGCTGGGAGGGAGCAGAGACCCAGAGGCGGGCGAGAGCCATGTGCCCCGGGGCGTGAGCGCATGCCACCCCAGCCCCCAGTCAGGGGGGTCATGCGTGCTGCTGCCTGCCCCCCAGCACAGAGACCAGCACCAGCCCAGCTCCTGAGCGAGGATACCACTTTCTAAAAACCGGAGGGAAATGAATCAGCGTAATTAGGATGGAGAAGACAAGCTTCTCCCAGACAATATTTTAACCTGAGAGAAGTGAAGTGTGGTGATTTAATTAGGGAAATGCCAGAAACAAGGCACTTTGACTTAAGAGCGCTGACCTGCTAATGGATAGGCCTGGACAAGTTTGGGGACAAGAGCCAGACGCTCCAAAAGGGGCAAACGTGGCCTGAAAGGAGCGAGGTCCACGCACCCCTCACCCCCCCCGCCCGCCATGCCAGCACGTCCATCTCCCTCTCGGAAGCAGCACAGGGAAGCTGCTTCTACTGGGCTTCCTGGGCTCAAGTCCCAGCGCTACTACTCACTAGCTGTGTGACCTCTGGCAAGATACTCAACCTCTCTGTGCCTCAGTTTCCTCGTCTGCAAATGGGGATAATTACAGTACCTTGCACAGAACTGCTGTGGAAAAATTTAAGATAATATCAATACACTTCTAATATTGATATTAGATGCTTGCTTTTCCTGTGAAAGTCCAAATAGTCAATATTTTAGACTTTGCAGGTCACAATAAATCACTTCTAGTGCTTATTAAACACACAATGTTCAGGGTTCCTTCCAAGATCTACTGGATGAGAATCTCTGGGTGCCGGGAGGGGCCCAGGAGTCTGTATTTTAACACCCTCCAGGTGCTCTCATGGATCTGATCTAGCTTTTGTGCTGACGTTCCTGACAAACAGGGATTCTATGGATCTGAAGTGTTCTGCTTCCTCAGAGGCCCAACCAATAGGTCCTGACAGACACAGACAACACAGCAGCTCTCTGCAGGTCCTGTTCGGGAGAGACAGGGGGCGAAGGCCAGCGCCCCCTGGCCAGGACGGCCGGCACCAAACCGCAGGCGGGCAAGGCTGTGTGCCCCGCGTGGTTCAGCCCTCAAGGTTCCCCCGAGGGGCGGGGCACACCCCCTCTGGGTTTGGCCTTGGCCATGTTCCTGGTCTAGCTGAGGACCGACCGCCACAGGAAGCTGGACAGCTGGCTGGGCAACGAAGGCACCAGGGGTGATGTGGGCTGACTCCCGGTCCCGGCGGGATGGGTGGCGGGTCCCCCAAGTCTGGCGGGGCTGTGGTTTGAAGGGAACACGTGCTCACCAGGCATCACGCCTTTGATGTCGCTCTCGGGGTTCATGCGGTTCTTCTGTGTGAAGCGCAGGATCAGCTTCTTTGCCGACGCAAACTGGTGGGTGGCCATGAGCCACCGCAGGGACTCTGGGAAGATCCTGCAAAGAGACAGGGAGTGGCTGAGGCTCTTCCCATCGGGTGAGGCATCAAGACACAGCTCTGTCAGGGGCTGGGAGCGTCCAGCCGGGCCGGACTGGGTACCCGTCTGTGAGCGGTGGAGGCTGGCGGGTGCTCAGGACTCTCTCTTGGCCCAAGCAGGCGAGAGAAGACCGTGGCCCTGGGTGTTTCTGGCTTTCTCTCAGAAAGTGTAGAAGTTGCAATGTTTAAAATGAGGCAGAAAGGAGCAGTATCCTCCCAGCTGTGTCAAGAAATCTGTGTATACTTTTCACCAGACGCTGGATTACTAAAACACGTTCCAGCAATTCATGGAAGGGCTGCTTTTGTGATATTTTGTCTCAAAAAACGAATGTTCATAGAATGATTTTAAGTTTAAAAAAAATGCCCCCCCATCCTAGCAACCTGACAGGCACTTTCTGTTTTGAACATCTGGAGCCTGACTTTCCCAGGGCTCAACTGTAGAATTAGTTTCATCTTGCTGCTAACTGCCCAGAATGCCTCCCTGAGGTGGGTGATGGTTTTCCAGTGTAATGAGCGACAGACTCCTTGCTGGTTTGTTTGTGTTTAGGATGAAATACGGTGAGAAGTCCCGTTGGAAAAAAAACCCCAAACCAAACTAGTGTCTTATCAATGCGTTTTGTAATTTTACATTTATAACGAGATTTGCAAGTCCACCAAGGAGAACCATGTGCCTGTCTGGAGCAGTGGGTCAGCTTGCTTTTTCTGTAAAAGTCCAAATAGTGAATATTTTAGACTTTGCAGGTCACAAGGTCTCTTGAGAAAACAGCCACTGCCATGTGCCCAAGGATGGAGGCTGTGTTCCCTCGGGACCCGATTTTGAAGCAGGTGGCACCCCTGTGTGGGAGAAGCAAAAGCTGGAAGTCAAGGCTGGGGATGACAGCACAGCCTCTGCGGGCGCAGCGCTCCAGGCGTCCCTGTGTTTCATGTCAGTTACAGAGTGTCAAGGAATCGTGACTGATGATAAGAAGTTATCTTTGCTACTACCCAACACCTGCCCCACCAGCTCTGGGGAGCCTCTAATCAAAGTAAGGCAGAAGCTGCAAAAGCTCTCAGTGCTAAGTTTTTATTTCAGAGTCACATCACTAATGATGTAACGGCTGTCACTCCCTTACCTGTCTGAACAAAAATCAAGTTTCTAAATGTTCATGATGTATTTTGCAGAAACAGCTGACTTCAGTGGTACGCTGGGATGGTCTGATCAGAGTGTTAATCTACGCTGGGAGACCTGGGTTGTCACCAAGAGTCAAAAAGCCACCGTCCCACGTGGCTGCACAAAGGTGCGGGCGAGCTGGGGGCCCACCCTGGTGAGGTACGGCCGGAGCATTAAGACGGGCTCAGAAAGTCTCATGTCCTTTCGCCCAGGAGCCCATATTGGAAAGCTGATAAAACACAGGTTTCAAACTGTAAACACTGTTTTTTTTTTTTAAATAATAAAAGTTAATGCTTGCTTTACTAGCCTCTAGTTTTTATAATATTGAATATAATTCAAGCAAACAGAAACACTCACAATATAACATAACAGACATCAATATTATATAGATATTAACATCTTGCCGTGTTTTATCGGATCTTTTCTTTATAATGAAATAACCTAACACAAATGCCCACCCTATAGCTCTCACCTATGTTATCTCCATCCATCTTTCTGATTTATTTGGGTTTAGTGTCACTTTCTCATTTCTTAAGATAGACACATAGGTCATTAACATTAATTCTTCTTTTCTAATATATGCATTTCTGACTTCAAAATTTCACCTAAGTATCACTTTAGCAACATTTCACAAGTTTTGATAAGTAGTTCTTGCTGTGATTTGATTATAAATATTTTGTGATTTCTATCAGGATTTTTCCTTACCTATGGTAGCCAGTAAGACAGACAGACAGACATATCTCATATATATACATAACATTTCCAAACATACCGGTTTTGAGAGGGGGGTAGTGGTGGGGTTGCAATCTTGTTTCATTGACTTTTAATTTTATTTAGTCATTTTGAGAAAACACAGTCTCTGTTACTGCAAACTGGTACAACCAGAATCCTGGATCCAAGAGGAGGAAAGAGAAGGAGAGGAGAGAGGCAGGGCCCAGGGAGGGGAGGACCTGAGGTTATGGAGGGGCAGCAGCCCTCGGACCGGAATGAACCCGAGTAAAGAAACAGGTCTCTCCCAGGAGACCTGGGCACAGCGACCAGGGCTCTGTTAGCCACACGTCCTGTCTCTGCTGGCGGACAGCACTGCAGGCCGCTTCCTCCACGCCTGCCTGGCCTACGCTCACCCTTCTGCACGTTTCCCATGAATTTACGTCTTTCCAGCTCATTATGTTGTAGTAACATTATCCCCACTTCACAGATGGGGAAACTCAAGCAAAGCACTCAAGGATGTGTTCCAGATTCCTGGGCGGTGAAATGCAGAGCTGGATTTGACCCCAGGCAGTCTGACTCAGGACCCCACATCCTTAACCCTGGGGGATGCAGCAAAGAAACCAACCCCGCGTGCGGAGACATCGCTCCCATGACTGGGGTTTGGGAGATACTGTTCCAGCGCCACCTCCTCAGCCCTTCCAGATGCCACAGTGCCCTCTGGGTATTTAAACCTGCTGCAAAGTCATAAAGAACTCGCTGAAATGTCAGCCTATGAGAAAGCCCAGAGATGGCGGTTCTAGCTTGGATACTGTGCAGCGTGGCCACATTATGGGAGTTTAACGAAATGTCTGCTGACAGGCACATAATGTAGTAACACCATGAAAATTAAAAAACTGGCCAGTGGCCCAGGATCTGGCAGGAGTGTAGCTGAGCCTCAGAAATACCCAACATTTTCAACAAAAATAAAAGAGCACGGTAGGCAGCTGGAGCCCACGTCTGCTGGTGGACCCTCACGTGTGGATGCTAAGAAAAAGCGACCTTGAGGATGACCTCTGCGAACACAGTAATGTGCGTAAAAGCCACAGCGGCACCTCTAGGAGGGAGCTTTGCTGTTGCTGCCAGAAGCGGCGATGGCTACGGGGACAGGCACTGGTCCCCAGAGTGGGTGGAAAAACAGGAGTGTTTGAAAGCTGGAAGTATCTGGTCCTCTCAAGCGCACTGTGTGGCAGAACTATTATCACCCCTCTTCCACAGATGGGAAAACTGAGGCAGAGCAGGTTCAACTATGTTGCCCGGATTATGTAGCTATTAAAGGGGCAGAGCTGGATTTGAACTCGGGAGACTTTCAGGCTGTGATCCCTCCAAGCCAGGGGTTCAATGGCTCCAGGGCTTCTGCGGGAGGGTGTGGGCAAAACTAAAAGTCTCCTCTCGTCCAGTTCAAGTCCTGAGCCCCTGGCGGCAAGCGAGGGGCACAGGAAGGGCAAACGCAGAGCCCTGGGCAGAAGTCCCACCCCCTCCCTGAGGATGGTCACAGGTTGATGGACCTCTCGCCCCAAGGCACATGGTCCTGAGGCCTCCGAAATACATTCAGGATGGTTAGAAGGTCCAGGATCCCTCATTCACAATTCCAGAATCCAGAAGATTCTGAAACCTAAAACCTCTTCATTTAACTCACTTGGGAAAAGACCTGAACTCCCTGAGGCAGAACGGGACCTACTGGGTACGAGCGTCAGCCTCGGGCATCGCTCTCCTGAGATGCAGACACTTCCCTGCAGAAGTGTGAGCGTCCGGTGGACACGTCAGCATCCCCAGGGGCGGTGGCGGGGCTGCAGGTGGACAGTGCCACCCCTTCCCGGCAGCAGGCATGAGTCACAGGTGAGGAAGCTGTGCTTAAAGACTTCAGCCACGAAGTTAATTTTTAATCACAGATAAACCCATTCTCTACTTAAAAACTAAAAGATTCCAGAGAACTCCGCCTCCCTCCGCCGACGACCTGCCCCAGTCCTGGCGCCCCTGCACCGCCCTCCCCACCCCGAGCTGACCCCTGCCCTGTGGGTGCACATCCTTCCAACCACTGGAGCCCCGTTTATCTCAAGGTGCTCCCTCTGCTGTCACACTGCCCCTACCTTCAGTGGAAAATGCCTGTTACGCTCTCAGAAATCCCCTTCCTTCCAGGTGGGCACACAACTGCCCCCGTGGTGGTCCGGAGACCGTCACCCCAGGGGTGTGCACGGTGGTGTCCACCCCGAGATCCTGGGAGGAAGCCACGCTCACATCCTACCTGTGCACTGGGGACACCAAGGCAGGTCAGTCCTACCTGGGCCACCTCGTTTCCCAGCGCATCCCGAGAACATCCAAACTCCACCTGGATCTACAGGCCATGAACCCCGTGGCCTCAGTTATCCCACGAAAGCCAAGAACCAGAAATTTAAGGAAGAGGCTTTGACTGAACGCCAGGGAGGTCACAGAGGATGCACTGCAAACCCAGGCTTTCTTCAGAGGAGAACCCCCAGGCCTCACTCAGACAACCGAGTCCTGGGTCAGGAAGTCCCAGGCGGCGATGGGGGTCGGGGAGGCGGTGAGGGGCAGAGAGGCTGGGCAGGGGCAGCAGGAAACGCCCAACTGGGAAGGCACAGGCTTCCCGGCCTTGCTCGGGGGCATCAGACTGCACCCCACACCACAGACCCTGCTGCAGGATCACACTTCTGCAGCACACGCATGTCTGTTGACATGATGAAAACCCTTGAATCACTCACAGAAGAAGGCAGAGTCACACATCTGAACTTGAAGCCCAAGGGGGTCTCTGATTTGCACTTAGCCTTTCCCCGGTGGCACTGATTCAAAGGTCTGGGACCTGGCCTTCGAATCCCTAGGGCAGCGTCACTTTTCCCACTTCAGGCTTACAGTACTACTTAAAAAGCAGGAAAAAATATTTTAGAAAGATGCCCACCCTGGGGGATTCCCTGGTGGCGCAGTGGTTGAGAGTCCGCCTGCTGATGCAGGGGACGCGGGTTCGTGCCCCGGTCCGGGAAGATCCCACATGCCGCGGAGCGGCTGGGCCCGTGAGCCATGGCCACTGAGCCTGCGTGTCCAGAGCCT